CTTTTCCTTTTTCTTTTTTTTTTTTTTTTTTGTTTTGTCAAATTTTTATACTTATCTAATATTTTTTACTTAATTAGCGCCTAGGTGATTTATATGATAGCTGTTTCATAACATTTTAAAATTTCAAAAGGTTAATATATTAATCCTTTCTTTCCCAAAATATCTATAAATCAATAAATTGAGAAAAAGACAAACTGATTGAGATTATTTTTTGTCAAGTGGAAAAATTACTTGAGTGCCAAACAGAAAAACTGGATTTTTATACCGTTAAACGACCGGTAACGTTAGCCACACTGTATGTAACTCATTTTTCGCTATGATGCACACAGTGCTTCAAATTTTAGCTTATGCCAACTCTACTTAGTTGGTCTAATTGTTTGGGTTTAGTTTCAGAATAATTTTTTTGTTGAACAATATGCCTTTTCTTTCAATCTATTTTAGCTTTTCTTCTTTTCAGTGTAAAGCTGGTGCCATAGCTTTTTTTCTTAATTTAAAAACTTTGTATTTATTAGAAATTGAGAAACAGAGAGTGGGAACAAGACAGAAGAAAGAACGGCAATAAATAAAGTACCTTTGTTATTTGTCCAGGAAATATACGGTAAAAATGTATTATCAAAGATAAATTTGTGAGCATTTTGTAATTTTTGTCAAATATTTTTGTATTTTTTCTTCCTTCTTATTTTTAGTTTTTTTTTTTTTTTTTTGCACAAATGTTACAGCATTAAAGTCAAGAAAAACAAGTTTTATGTTTCACTCATAATAATTGTTTACTGTACCAAATTTAAACTGCTCAATAAGCGTTTGATTTTAGATTGTTCAGGTTTTCGTTTGACGATTTATTGACAAATGTTATAAGCTTGGCATTAAAATTGTGTCATTAAGACATATAGACATAGGAACTATATAAGAGAAAAACCTGAAGTAGTAAACAGGAAAATGCTGATAAGGCGCAAAATTATTTAGCTGTGCTGAGATTTAAAAAGACTGCTAAAAACATCGTTTGCCAATAAATTTCATTGCATTTTGCTTCAATTTTACTGGAATCTTGAAAGTTCAGTTTTAGTTCTCTGTCTTTTTTCGTTTGTGCAGTTGTAACCGCCATTAAAAGTTGTAGCTGTAAACAACAATGCTAATTATTAAAATAACTTTAATTAACAGTAATTAAATCTAGTCTGCTTTTAATCCTCTTTTTATGACTGAAAAGATGTCATATACCAGTGTAGCAGCAAATTTTTCTGCAACAGCGTTTCTTTTTAACTGGAAAAAAAATATTATATTTTTTAATGAAAAGGACTTAATCAATGGTACAATAAACATTTTGAATTTTTACTGTTTTATTACTTGGTCTGCTGCAACAGTTTATAATGTTTTCTCTTTCATAAAAAGAAAGTGTTGTTTCGTGAGTCCTCTACTTTTGTTCAATAGCATTAATATATCAGCCAAATTAAGAAAAAGAGAAAAATTATTTTTAGCACCTAATCTGGAGAAACTTTACGGGTATCATAGACAGAACGAGAACGGTACAACAATGAGAAATGGGGGTTTCAAATTGTCTTTAAAATTTTATCATATAACAATTATTTTCTTCAAAACTTTTGCTCTGTAGATGTTTGGTTAATTTACTGACTGTAAATACACTTATAAATATGATCATTTTCAAAAAGCCTTGTAAATTGACAGTAATTAACAGCGGGGCTGAAAATATACTAGCGACTGGATTTGTTGAGTTGACGGCTTGAATAACCAAAAGTTTTTGTTAATGAATAATGGATACAAATGAAAGTTTAAAGCGCGTATTTTTGACACATTTTTGAAACAGTTGAAGAGTATCCACTTAAGTTAATTTTATATTTTTGTTACTGTAACTTTTTGCAGTTTTACTGCTGCTTCTGCTGTTGGTACTACTTGAAAAGTTCCTCTTGAATTTCAAGCAGTTGTTGGTGTAAATAAACCTCAATAAACTAGTTTACTGCTGCTGCTACTGCTGCTGCTGCTACTGCTGCTGCTGCTCTTACTTCTGTTAGTACTATTACTTCTGCTAATTATTTTGAGTAGCTGTCAAAGTAAACAAACTATTGTTATTGTCGACGATTAAGTAGCAGTGAAAAAGCCGACAAAGGCTATCGTCAAGCAAATCGGTCAATGTAAGGTGAGGGGCAATTTTTGTTAATTATGTTTATTTATATAACAAATATATATAATTTGCTGTAGCAGTTAAACTAAATTTAACTTGAAACATAATTAGCAAAATGTATACTTCGAGCTTAGACAGTAACAGCTTTTTGAATTGTAAATAACGGCAAAATCTTTCTTATATTTTCTTCTAAAAACTTTGAAGAAAATTAATTCTTGTCAGATATAAATTGTTTTTTACTTAAACTACTTAATTAACTATTACTATCACTGGAAAGTGAATAGGAGAAGGGTTAGGGGAATGATTATTTTTCTTTTCTTATCTGCATAGAAAATAGTAATACTATAATGTTCCTTTTTCTGTCTTTGTGGATTTTTGTGCGCTCAGTATGAGGAATGGAAAATACTGTTTACTCAGTGTCTTTTGCTGCTGTATTACTGCTAATGGCGGTAATTATGATACTAATGATTCGTGTTTGTGAACTTTCCTGCAGCTAGTCTTTCCGTTGATCTATGAAACAATGCTAAAATTTTTTTTAGTGTTTATTTTGTTTCGAATAAATAGCTGCTTAAAAATTTATTTTGAAAAAAAATAAATATTTTGACAGTTCCGGTTTTATGTCAAAAAAAGTGACATAAAAAAATCATTTCTCTCTTCTTTTTATTCTATTTTGACAATATATTATACAATTAAAGTGTTCGTCAAAGAATTTTTTCCACCGGCAACTTCTGACAGCAGTGCCTTTCACATACCTCTGAATGATAAATCAGAAATGATGAAGAAATGGTACAAATTAGAAGAAACGTACTCAATCATTTTTGATTCTAAATTCACATGCTAAAACTTACGAAATCGTTCCAATAACTACAAATGCAGTCAGACACAGATTAGTTTCTGTGAATAAATTTAGTAGACCGAAAAGTGGCTGCTGAAATAAATTGCTTCTTATATTGGTAAATATTTTTTTCACTTTCTGCTCTTTTTTCTTCACTTCTTCTTCACTCTCTATCACCTCATTTGCATTTATTTCTTTCATATCTTTCAAGAAAGAAATATTTGATACGTATAAGTCGGTAAAGGAACAAAATAAGCTTGTCTAGTTCAAGTAGGTACTTGATGCTTGACTTTATTCCTAATTGTTTACCGATTAACTCACCAGGGTACCTATATGTCGCTGGTATCGTAACGGGGTTCCCTTTTTTCTTTTAGTTGATTGGTTGGTTGGTTGGTTGATTGTTGCGTCAACTGATCCCTGTTGACGACTGAGCTTTGCTTTTGTGATGATTAACTTGGTTGAACGCCCTAACCGGTAATTGTGTCGGCACTTTTATCGGTTGTTAAGCTGCTTCAAAAACTTTGTCATAACCAAGTTCGAATCGTCCTTAATCCGTCAGTTTAACCAGCAAATATCGACAAGCACATAACGGCTAAACGCCGCCATAGTAAATGATCAGGAAATATAAATAAATCAACTGTAGAAGTACCGATAAATTAAGCAGTCAACAAAAAGAAGTCTTTCGTTGTAGACGTAGTTAAAATGACTGCAAAACAAATTTAGTTCTTGACCTCTAAAACAATTTTCATCAACAGTGGTACCAAACCAACGTAAAGCATAGCACAGACTACTGTTGTTGCTGCTGCCGTACTCCAATAAAAATACTGAGGTATTAAAAAAAAAAGAATTTTTGCTTTTCAATTAAGTCAAAAAATCTCTTGTTTTAGGAGTAACAAAGAAAACAAACAATGATAACATTAAGAAGGTTAGCCACCAAGTAAGAAAAACAGAAATAAAAAGCACTTTATCATCTTCATTCTGGCGTTTTTAACTATAAAAAAATTAGTCGTTTTTATTTGGAATTCCGTTGCCATTTTAAATGTCGCTTGATAAAAATCATCACATATTTAGATAAGCAAAAAAAATCAAGTGAATTTTGAAAACCTTCAGGAAAACTGATAAAACAATAATAGTAAAACA